AGAGTGTCACAACTTGATTTTATGTGGCCGCAACCAACCCCAAGTCAATGGTGGGGTTTTGGTGGTGGTCTGCATGCATCCTTTTGTTTGTTTGTTTGTTTGTTTGTTTTGTTTTTCGAGACAGGGTTTCTCTGTGTAACTTTGCACCTTTCCTGGAACTCACTTTGGAGACCAGGCTGGCCTTGAACTCACAGAGATCCGCCTGCCTCTGCCTGCTGAGTGCTGGGATTAAAGGCGAGCACTACCATGCCCCGCACACTCAGTCACTGTATACAAGATGGACATTGAATACACTGATCCCTATACCTCCTATGAACCTTTGCTTTCTCTTTTACATCCCGGGGTGAAGACTTAGAACCCCGCCCATGGGCGGTGAAAGGGTTAATGAATGGCACTGTAAGTAGGAAATGCTCAGTATAAAGGGGTTAACCATAAACTCAGCATCTGCTGTATTGGGAGCCATGGCCCAAACTTCATATGTATCTGTCTGTTACTCCTTCCAGCAATTCCATAAAGCATAAAGTTTCTCTCTGTCTCTGTTTCTGTCTCTCCCTCTCTCCCTCCCTCCCACTCCCCCTCTGCTCTATGTGAAGACACTGCATTCAGAAAGGTTAAGTCGCCAGTCTGGCATCGCACAACAAGAAGAGGACCAGCTAGCCTTTGACTCATAGGTGAGGGTATGGCTTCCTTAGATCAATATGAACTGAATTCATCTCATCGTCTTTGTGACTCTGGGTGCCGATCCAGGGGCTCCTAAACAGTTTCTCTTGTCTGGACACACTGCCAGGTTTCTGTTAGATGGATACAATGGATACAAGATAACACTTGGGCCTTACTTTCCTCTCTCTTTTGCGGCAGGGCTAGGGATGAATCCCACAGCCTCACACACCCTAGACAAGGGCTCTGCAGCTGAGTCCTGCCCCAAGCCTTCCAACTTGATATTTTTACCACTTTCTCTGATGGGTGAGCAAAATTTTTTAAAAAGAAGACCAAACCTAAACGAAGCGTGAAGGATGTCTCCACGTGTCCCCATAGCCCCATGAAAGAGCTTTTGGAATGTTCTAGGGAGGAGGATTTTCAGTGGCCGTTGCCACCCGCCTGCTCTCTATGGAAAGAAAAGAAAAACCTCTAGCCTGTTGGAGAAAGTCCTTAGTCTTTATTCAGTTCGCTTTTATAAAACGAATTTTCAGAGGCGTTGGCTTGACCTAAGTGAGGTTACTCCCGACTCTGGTGTGCGAACGCAGGGCCAGGACAGTCATTAACCGAAGCTGCTCTGCCCACCGCAGTCACTAAAACAGGCAGAGGTACACAAGCAAACCGCTTGCCTCAACACCCACCCCGCACATACCCCCTGCTTCTCACACCTGCAGAATTACAACCAGGAACCATGGACTCTTAAACCACCCACACACCAAGTCAATTTCTTATGCCTACCTGTCAGACCGCCACCCCTGGCTCCCCCACCTCACCTTCCTGCAGGGACAGAAGAGGACGGAAACTCCCTTTTGGCCACCTCACTCCAAGATATATAGCATTAGAAAGGAAATCTGGTCTCCTACCATCAAAACCTTTTAGTAAGGAGAATGCCACATTCCCAGTTTTATACATGGATTTTTTTTTTAACTTCCTTCAGTGCATATTTTTATAGAGTCAGGGTCCGGTTATATACACATCTGTGTGTATGTATACACACATATATAGAATTCACTGCAGTTATATATGTGTCTATAACATTAATTGGCATTATTATACATTTAGGCGTATAGTATGATAACCTGATACCCATACGTACCATGCAAGTGTAGAGTCGGGCAAACAGGGGTTCTTTGTATTAGGAAACCATGATTTCCTCTTTCCTGGTTATTTCAAGATTAATGATAAACTATTATAAGTTTAACACAGTGGTACAAACCTATAATTCCAGCAATCAGGAGCCTGAGGCAGGGGGATTGTGAGTTCAAAGGACCAAATAAATATAGAAATAATAAAACTAAAAAAGTAAATCAAAGAGAGTTTTGTTTTGTCATTTGATTTTTTCTTTTTCTTTTTGTTTTCCTGTTTTTTGAGATAGGATCTCTCTATACAGCCCTGGCTGTCCTAGAACTCACTAAGTAGAGCAGGCTGGCCTTGAACTCGTAGAGATCTACTGGCCTCTGCCTCCCGAGTGTTGGGATTAAAGGAGTGTGCCACCACTCCTGCCTGGGGGAGTTTTCTGTTGAAAACGTCCATTTTTGTAACAAAAGATGCTGTAGGCACCATCCCTCTGTAGCTGCTAATACAGAAACTCCACCCGGCCACCATCAGCAGCAACTGGCAAACTGGTTTCATGAAAACCTTAGGGTGAGCTTTGTCACGGAGTCAGACTTCTGAAATCCAAAATAAGACAACACAGTGGGTCAAGGTCCTTGCCACCAAGTCCGATGGCCTGGCCTGAGGTCCATCTCTGAGACCCACAGGGCAAGGAGGAAAGAGCCAGCTCTTCCAAGATGTCCTCTGATCACCATGTGCATGCCTCGCCCCCACCCAAACACACAAATGAATAAGAAGCGTTGTGCACACTAGCCCAGACATGTGCAATAATGATTAGCCCATACTAGCGGAAGGTGGAAGTGAGAGTTTGCAGCAGCTGATAACCTAAAGGAAGGGCGAAGGAAGTGGGTAAAGAAAAAAGACTTGACCCACGAATAAGGGGCCAGCTATTGGCTGTATAAGAGTGTATCATCTTCCTCAAGGACACAGGAGATGATCAAACTCGAGGATGCTTTGTGTGGAAGGAAAAGACTCTTCTGGTCGGGGTGGGGGGGGTATCTGTGTGTGCATGCATATGTATGCATGTGCACATGCCTTTATGTGCACGGAAGCCAGAAGGGAGCATCAGGGGTCCTGATCCATCTCTCTCTAGCTTATTACTCTGAGACAAGGTCTCTTCACTGAGTCTGGAGCTAGACTAACAAGCCGAGTGAGCGATCCTCTTGTCCCCACCCACCCACAGCACTGGGGTGACTAGCAGGACCACGCGTGACTTTTTACATAGGTGCCTGGATCCAAACTCAGGCCCTTACGGTTGTGCAGCAAGCAGGCTGTAAGCCACCGAGCTCCTCTTCCCTTTGGGGAATTCCTGATGGTGATGGTGGTGCACGTTATCACAGAGCTATGTCACTATGAGGGCATATACCATAGAGACCGAAAGTTAGCGACTGGACGGTTCCCAGGAGACTATGTCCACTGGGCCCCACAACAGAGGTTCAGCTAGACCCAGCAGCATCTGCCGGCGATGCTCACCAACCATCTCCCCAACCTGACTCAAGGAGCCACCAGAGAGAACATCCCCACTGAACCTATCCACCCCCCCCCCTTTCTCTTGGCTTTCTCCTTTCCAGTTTCCCCCACTGTGGCTTGGCTTTGGCGCTCGTGGGGACGAATCCTGTATTTAACAAACCTGTCATCGGACACTGCCTACCTTGATAGGCACCTGGGAGATGGTGGCTATCGGAGGTCACAGAGAAAAATATGAGGTTTCGGGATATGGTGGGAGTTTCTGGGCATCGTGATGGGCGAGGCTCCTTCCTGGGCAGTGGACACAGGTGGGTGGATGGAGTGAGTGTTTATTTCAGGGGAGTCCTTTTTTTTTTTTTTCTCCAGGCATGAAGTTTATACAGCTTCGGAGAATTATTTAGAAGGAAACAGGACCTGCAGCCTGCTGGGCCTACGGGCCTTACCCACCTCGCTCAGCTCTGCCCAGCTCTGCCCAGCTATGTAAAGGAGAAGGCGTGCCCACCTCCTCGATGGACCCGCCCCCCGCCAGAGCCACCACCCACCTTCACATCTCCCTAGTAAAAGCAAAACCCGCACAGAGGCAGTTGTGCTTGCAAAGGCCTCTGTGTCACAGGCTCACGTGGCCCCAGTAAAGGATGAAAGTAACTTTCCGGAGGTGTGGACAAGTCGGAGAAGCCAGGGAGTCTGGCGGTAAGGCCGGGGACACACACACTGTAGGATGCTAAGGTGGAAGAGAGATCTCATCTGCTCAGCGTCCCACGCCTGTGGTGTGATCCTGACCCTCAGTGCTCCCCACTCAGAAACAGAACAGAGGACCGAATATTCCCCCCAGGGTTCCTCCCAACTCTCACCCCGCATTTCAGGAAATAAAATCCAACAGGGGGAGGGGCAGCTAAAGGAGCTTGATGCCAGGTCTAAGGATCCGAGTTCTGCACCCTTGACTCACATGGTAGGAGAGAGCTGACTTCTGATGAAAGCTTTCCTCTGGCTGCTACCCAACCTCTACACGGTGTCAAGCTCTACACGGCTGATACACATACACACACACACACACACACACACACACACACACACACACACACTCATGCACACACTCATAAATGCACACACATTCATGCATGCACACAGACTCATTCTCACACATACACAGGCATGCACATATGCACACACACACACACACACACAAATGTGCACATACACTGGCTCGCTAATAAATCCATAAAAAAAAACCTAAGCAATTACCCCACCCCATGGAAGGCTGTTGCTCACATTTAAGGTGGATCATCAATGAACCTAATCCAGAAAATCCCTCACAGACACAGCCAGAGACTGGTCTCCAAGATGAGTCCACATCCAGTCACGTTTAGTGTTAGCCCATGACAAGCCATGTTCTGGCTTTAATTTAAATGTCCCCACCCCCCATCCCACATACACAGGCTCATGTGTCTGCACTGGGACTCTGTGGAACCTTCTGGAATTGGGGCAGTGCTGGAGGAAGGGGGGTGGTCACTGGAGTCCAAACTCAAATTGCTTCTTCAAGCGGGCACTGCCTGTTTCCCAATCCACCAAGATGTCCCAGCTCCAAGCTCCAGCCCCTTGGAAACTGACATGCCTTCCTCGCCCTGACGGACGGCTGCCTCTAACCCTGAACCAGAATAAACCCTCCCTTCTCTAAGCCGCTTCCAAGTCAGGCATGTTGTCATAGCAACAAGAAGAGTCAGCTGTAGTAGGCAGGATGGGCCCTCGAACACCTCCGTGTTCCTGGTTGTGAGTTGACAACACACGAATGAGGGCATCGATAGGGACATCCAGGAACCTGGCTGCTCTTGCAGAGGACCCGAGTTCTGTCCCCAACACCCCCTGGTGGCTCGGGTGATCTGCCTTGATTCCGGGAGCACAGAGACCACAGACTGCAACTCTAACTTCCCTCTCCAAACTGGTCCACCACCCCAGGATACTCCCTCTGCCTTCACATGCAGCCCTGCTCATATCTGACACCTCCAAGAGACCGAACTTGGCTTAGTCTCCCGCTCATTTTCATCTGTTGTGACTATTTTGACTGCACAGGCACATACTTGCCATAGATGAGACAGAAAACAGTCACGAAGGCAGAGTGGGGGAAAATGACTTCTGGTCAGGTGTGGCACGGTGCCACGGGTCTGTCACCCCAGTGCTCAGAGGATGAGAAAGGCCACTGTTGGGAGTTTCAGGCCGGCCTGGGCTACATGGTGAGAACTTGTCGAGGGTGGTGGAGGTGAAGAGAGTGAAGGGATAGATATCATTTTTAGAGTTCAAACCCCAGAACGCTATAAAATGGATGTCACAGCACAACCTGTGGTCTCAGCACTTGGGAGGTAGAGGCAGGAGAATCAGAGCACTCCAGGTCATCCGTAGTTACATAACAAGTTTGGGGCCAGCCTGAGCTACATGAGACCGTGTCTATAGAAAGGAAACTCAGATCCCAAACTCAGAGGTAAGTGTCGATAATAAAATATTTAAATCTGAATATGCCACGTGATCCTTAGTAAAGACTGCTACTCTCTTCTTACCATATTGTGTTGGGGCTCGCCTCAAATTTGGGGTGAGCCTCCTGCCTCTGCTTCTAGGGTGCTGAGACAACAGGCCTGGACACAATACTCGACTTTTACCCAAAATTTCCTTACTTAAAAGCCAGGCAGTGGTGGCACACGCCTTTAATCCCAGCACTCGGGAGGCAGAGGCAGGCGGATCTCTGTGAGTTCGGGGCCAGCCTGAGCTACAGAGCTAGTCCAGGATAGGCTCCAAAGCTACAGAGAAACTCTGTCTTGAAAAACCAAAAAAAAAGAAAAAAGAAAAGAAAAGAAATATTCTAACTGTATTCATAAGTCAGTAATTCAGCTGAACAAGTTTTTTTATTTCCAGCCAGTATTTCTTCTAAACAGACCCTGATAGTTTCACTTGTCCTCACCTGCTGGGCATTGTGTTAGCATCATCGCCCTGTGAAACCTGTGAATTCCTTTATGCCGCTCCTGCCTGGGTCCTGAAGGTGGGACAGGCTGGCAGGCTGGGGGGGGGGGGGGCTCTGTGGGTGCTTAATGCCTAAGACTGATTCTGGCCCCACAGGGGCTCCCAGTTGTTGCTTGGGGACATTCTCACCTACTCTTTATAAACACCGGAGGTCAGAAAAGGGTCACCAGAAAGCCTGTCCCGATGATCCTGTTGGGGCTGGCTGGCTTTTTAGAAAAGAGAAGGGGTCATTAGTCACCAATAACCTACCATTTCCTGGCGATTCCCGGCAAGCCAGCCTTAGAAAAGGCCTTGGTAGTTAATATAATGAAAAGCCTGGTGCGCTCTGTGGATGTCTCATGCAGGAAGTAAACAAATAAAGCCAGGAAAGGGAGCTTTGCCCTGGCGCTCCCCCACCCCAGCAACCCCTGTCCTGGCACTCCCCCGCCCCCATTTTCCTCTCTGTCTACCGAGAAAGCAGGTGCCTAGATGCCTTGCCAGCCTTCCCCTCCACTGGAGGAGCTGTGTACCACCCGGGCTCCTGGACACTCTGCCCCACTTCTCATGGCGCAGCCTGGATGGGAAGTGGAAATCAATCCACACAATATCCATGGAGGACACCCAGAGCAGCCTCTCACATCTCCTCACGCTGTGTGATGCAGACAGGGCTCCCTGGAGGAAACAGAATGTCAGCCCCCTGCTCCCAGTGAGTCCAGTCTGCAATGGATTTTTAACCCTGAGTGGTAGTGGTGTGTGTGTGTGTGTGTGTGTGTGTGTGTGTGTGTGTGTGTGTGTGTGTGTGTGTACGCATACAATATTCAGGAGTCAGTTTTTGCCGTCTCCCACCATGAGGGTCCTGGGGACTGAACTCAGGTCACTGGTTTAGTAGCAAGTGCCTTTACCCACTGAGCCATCTCCCTGGCCTCTGATTTTTGTTTAACTTTTGGTACTTGAAACAGGGTCTCACGCAGCTCAGACCGACCTTGATTTCCCTATGAAGCCAAGGATGGCCTTGAACTTCTGATCCTCTTGCCTCTTCCCCCTCCCCTAGTGTTGGGATTACAGATGTGTTGCCTTCACGCTCAGTTTATATCGTGGGGGTGATTGAACCCAGGGCCTCCTGCATTCGATGCAAGCTCTCTATCAACGGGAGCCACATCCCCAGTCCCTAAACTGCCTCTCAAACACATGGCTTTGGCATGTATGGACACACACACACACACACACACACACACACACACAATGATGATGATAATTTTTAAACTTGATATTCATCCCCTTTACTGAATCCTGGCCATGCTGCATTCCAGTGAGACCTGTGGGAATGCTGACCCCAGCAGGCTTCAGTGTCCTCTGACCTCTGCTCTTGGCTTCTTTCTCCCTCAGCAGACATCTCAGACCCTTCCACAGGGACTTGGCAAACTGCCTCTTCCTAACACAGGTCACTGGGTCCCGGTCCCTGATCGCTCTGCAGAGGGGTAGATGTCAGGCCCCCGGCAGTAAATTCACACACAGAAAATAAATGAATGGACAGGAAGACAAAGGTTCAATGAGTGAAAACCTGCCCGTGGGTTTGTGATCGAGGGTGGTGGGCACAGGGGGTGTCCTCCTTGGAACTGGAAATCTGTGAGGACAACCTTGGATGGGACAGCTTTCCAAAAGGAGTCTCAGCAAGCAGGGAATGGTGGACGTTGAGGTGACTCAAGTGAGATATCCATAGGAGAGAGAGAGGGGGGGGGGG